GGAGTAGTAGTAGTAGTAGTAGTAGTAGTAGTAGTAGTAGTAGTAGTAGTAGTAGTAGTAGTAGTAGTAGTAGTAGTAGTAGTAGTAGTAGTAGTAGTATCTGCAGTAGTAGCAACTGGGTTCGTTTGTTCAACAAGCTTATTCGGTGTTTTCTTTCTAACGTAAAGAGCCCAGCACAGCTCTCTTTAGAATGGAACTAAAAAGATAATAATATTATTATGGATCATCAGTTTGAGACTCCTCCTATTTTTGGCGGAGCATTCATAAACTGGTAACTTTAATATTCCTTTTTTTTTCTTCAGAAAAACATTGAATTACAAATTGTCTGGCCAGGTGCTCAATGACAACTCCCTTTTCATATGAATCAGGTATATGTTTTCAGCCAGTGCCTGTTTATAATTCATAACCTTTTTTAACTGAAAAAATTGTTTAAAATCTAATAATGAGAATAGAACTCCAACTTGGTGTTTCAGAAACGGTCTTTAATTTGTATTTTTTTCTTCAGCATCTGATTGCAGACTTGCTCAAGATCTTTAAAAAAGTCTTCCTTCTTTATGGCTCTACAGAGGGTTCTATTATGAGCCAGTCTACATTGACAGGTACGATTTCATATTTTAAATATATTAATAGTCAAACCACATTGTACCGCCAACATTGGGACAAACATGACTTTGGCGGTATTTCGGGGCTGGCATTAAAGCGGTTTTTAGTGCTACCCTCTGTTAAATAACATCGACTACCCAAGGTCAAAAGAAATGATTCTCCCATGACTAGATGAATTACAATATTGTCATGATAAGCTATTTTCCTTTGTCCGTAACTCAATGAGATGTGGGAGAAAGGGTGAATAATTACTGCACTGCTACCAAGTGAGTGTCATGCGCAGTGTGTAGTGTATACCTACTGATCATTTATATTATGTATGTGACTGTTAGCCTGCTTGTGAGTGCAAGCATACTGTTGTATTATTATGGTCATGTGCTCAGATGTGGGTGGAAGAGAGGATGTGTGATGATAGTGTGTGTGTGTGTGTATATGGGTGTGCACATGTGCGCGCGTAGGTATGTGTGTGCATGTTTGTATGTATGTGTGTGTGTGTGTGTATGTGTGTGTGTGTGTGTGTGTGTGTGTGTGTGTACTAATTGAAACAACAAACCAATGTGCCAGGATTAGGACAATAAAGTTGTATCTTATCCTATTACTGGCGGCCCAGTTTGCCGGTGGTGTTTCGGGGTGCGTTTCCTTGGAAGGGACAACTCAATGTCATGCAGTTGGCAGATCGCCATTTAAAGAGGTACATAATATGTTTATGTTGGTGTCAGTGTCGTGCACTGATAAAACCTGGTGGTAGGTGGGGCTGGCGGTATACGGTATGGGGTGGGGGGATTCGAAGTTGACTGCATTACCTATGTTTTAATCCCCCCCTCCCCCGAATGTTTTTACACTGTTTTCATCATCATCATCATCATCATCATCATCATCATCATCATCATCATCATCATCAGAGCTTCCCCATTGGTTGTGGCTGTCGTCGTTGAGAACGGTACTCCCTATTTTAAAGGGGACGGCTTGCCACTTTGAGTCAATGTCGCTGGGACCAGGTTGAGCTAGTGAGAGTGCGGTCGGACCATCATTGGAGCTTGAGATGGTAAACTTTGTAAATGAAGAGTTCAGCCCACGTTGCCGAAGAAGAGGCCATGAAAAGGAAGATGTCAAACATATGTTTGAATGTCCAGGAACAATGGCAATTCGAATGGAGTTATTTCGACGAGTGGAGGTGCCTCTAAGTATATTGACAATGGAGTCGAAAAAAAGCCTCGCTCTCGCTCGAAGATTTCTTCGTGGAGTCCCCTGGGCCCATTAAGGAAACCCCCCCCCCCAAAAAAAAAAATCACCATCATCATCATCTTCATCACCATGCTTTGGACGTAGCTTGCCAGGTGAGCGTCACCATACACATTGCAGCTAATGCATCAAGTGCTAGTAAATATGGAAGTGCAGTTCTGAACAAACACTATTTCAGAGGCCGAAGAAGATTTTTTCTCTGGGAAACCCGTAAATGTTGATAACGTCCGCCTGGTGAACAAAGACCAAGAGAAGTGCAAGCCAAAGGAAGTCGGGACCATACATGTCAGAGGTAAAGCCTAAATAGTTTGTTTGTTTGAGTATAGAGAAGCATATCGACACAATAACGGCTATTCAGTAGTCACAAAAAGGGAAACAGACACGCAGAAACAACAGAAGGAAAGTAAAGATGCCTACTGAAGGCACCCTCCAAACACCTGCGTGAGACAATTACAGCTCTCTTATGGGTTTTTTTTCAAATTGTGTAACACTTTTACACATTTTTAAAATGCATTGGGTGTGGGCACGCGGTTAGCGCATATGATGAAATACTGAAGTGTGGTACTAATGGCGTTCGAATCCCCAACGCTGGCGAACGGGGTATCTTGAAATTGTTATTTTATTTTTTAAATTTAGTTTAATTTTTTTTTTTTTTTTTTTTTTTGGGGGGGGGGGGGAGAGTTTAAGTCTCTCCACCCACTTACCCAGGTCCTATCAGATGGACATTAGATTCGGAGGTCCCACCCCTTAGATAATCTTACAGTGTTAAAAAGAGCGTTAAACCTATTCGACAGTAAAAGGTTCACTTTGTTATTTCATTTCTAAAAAAAAATTGTTTGTTGTATTATGTGCAACCTAGCAAGGTTGAGGAAGGCATTTTGTCGAGAAGTTGGGGATTTCATTAAAGCCTTTTTTTTTTTTATTTGATTTTATTTTGTTTCTAGGTCCTGGTGTTTTCAAGGGATATTTTAACAAACTGGAGGAGACAGACAAAAACACTGCCAAGGCCTTCACGGCAGATGGTTGGTTCAACACAGAGGACAACGGGTTTTTCGACGACCAGGGAAATCTTTTTGTTCTTGGCAGAGAGAAGGACATCATCATGTACGGCTCTTATATCGTCTACCCAGGATGGTTAGAGAAGAAGATAATGGCTCACCCTGATGTGATGGATGTTGTAGTAGTACCTGTGAGTACACGACCTGCTGGTTTGGGTTTTGAATTTGGTTATTGTTTAATTAATCTGTGTGTGTGTGTGTGTATGTGTGTGTGTGTGTGTGTGTGTGTGTGTGTGTGTGTGTGTGTGTGTGTGTGTGTGCGTGTGTGTGTGTGCGCGCGTGTGTGTTAACGAGAAAAAGATTGCTTTTATCTAGATGAACTGGAATTCCATCAAAACAACTGAATCGCAAGTGGATAGAAAACAAAATGAGAGACAGCTCTGTCGTTTTGCGTCCTGATTTTTTAAGCAGAAAGGGGGGCTTTTTACTGTCGCTCTCTAGTACAGTGGACCACTTGTGGTTGAAATCGTGCTACAACACAGAGCCTACAACCAGGACTCCTTATTGTTTGTAAAAGGTACTACCTCAGTTGAGAATACTAAATGCTGTCGCCGAAAAGAGGGTTAAGATCGGAGTCTCTTTCACAATACTCCTTAGCACCAATGCAGGCCCCCTCCCCCCTTTACCCCCCAACACACACTCTCACACACACACACACACACACACACACACACACACACACACACACACACATACACACACACGCATACGCACGCACATACGCGCACACACACACACACACACACACACACACACACACACACACACCCCCCAAAAACACACACAATACAAGGGACACAACTCTGTGCACACTAGAGCAATGATTCCTAGAAATGCTTCAACCAGCCTGCAGTCCCGGCTTAGCTTCCTGAGACTTCTGGTCATCTCCTATTCCGAAAGATCAACTTGATGGACGAAAGTTTGAACGCATTATCGGCCTAACTGGTGGCTTGGGTAACCTAGTGGTTAGGCTACCGGACTCGTAATCGTGAGGTTGCAGATTCGGGAGTTCGAGTGTCACCTCGGTCCGACGTTGTGTCCTTTCGGAGATGGACGTCAAATTTGGAGGTCCCGTCTCTTAAATAACCTTATAGTGTTTACAGAGGTATAAAACCCATACCATATCAAAAACCTAATAAGAGCCGTTTATTCGAACTGCGAACCATACCGGTTATTGACTACCGCTGTGCCTTCCAAGAGTTGCTGTGGAGGCTTAAATACCTCATACAAAATTAAGAATAACATTTTAAGGGACTGAAAAGTTCCAAAGCTCCATAGACGTTTCAAGCATTAGACGTTTTCGAGATATTTCACAGCTTCCATTACTCTACGACCCACCTTCGTTTTGAGTTTTGTTCCTATTCTCAAAAAGAAAAGTTTTGTTTTGTTTTGGTTTGTTATTTTTTAAACTATCTTTGCTCATATTACGAGAATACAAGCAAGGTGCATCATACCTGTTAAGAAAATTTAGAAAACACATATATTGATACGTTTTACTGATTTTTTTTTTCAATAACATAGAAAGACGGGTGAACAATCTTGTAATGTGCCTTCGTTGACTAAGCAGAGCTCAAATTGTGGCAAAGACCACTATTAAATAAAAGCTTAATTATAGAATATAGGATGCTCATTAATTATCAAGGGTAATTAAAATTCACTCTTGACAAATTGCAGGTATCAGATACTGTTCTCTTCCACAACATCTGTGCTTGCGTGAGACCGGCGAAAGACAAGACTTTGGACGAGGAGAATTTGCGAGACTTCTGTGAGAAAATATTCCTTAGCAGCAGCGAGATTGAATGTACGCCCGTTCCGAAATACTTCATGGTGAGTGATCTTGGCATTAGATAGAACTATACGGTTTTAGCCAGCTGTGCTACCTTAATGTTCCGTGAGCTTGTTCATAGATGTGTGATTGTGCGTATGAATGTGTATAATGTATTGGAGATGGCTCTACAATGTTCTAAAAATCTACAATACTCAAGAAGCAGTTTAGTTTGACAGATTGACAGGTTTACATGAAAAGAGACACATGTCGTCACTTTACTTGCTATCTGATGCAGGGGAAATGAAAAGAGGAAGGACCAATAATGGGCGCCCTCTGACCGTCCACTCTTTAGTGGTGGTGAACGGCAGCAGATTCGACAAGGCGCAGCCTTTTAAACATTTTCCACTTAATTAATTAATCTTAATTTGGAACCAATAAACATGAGATGTTGACACATATTATTATGTAGGCTCTTTTGTTTGCTGCAAAAGTAAACAGAAACCACAATTTATGGTTTTATCACCTGATAAATTTCTGTCTTCAACAGTTCATCTTCGACAAATTTTTTAAAGTAGTTTTGCTTGTGGCTCTTTATTGTCTTCAGGTATTGGAAAGCTTTCCTGAGGCGACGACGGGCAAACCAGACAAGAAAATACTAATGAAGATGGCAGAGGAACGATTTGGGCAAGATGCGCATTATATGTCAGCTTATTAAACGCGTGTTGTGTGACGTGCACTAACAACAATAGGCTACTGTGTGAAAAAAGAAAGGAAATGGAAAGAGTCCGGTGGAAGGAATGACGGAACAAAGCAACATTCCTTCGTGTTAACTAAGATCTGTTGGAAGAATATTATTTCGTGCGAAGGGAAGTTGAAATGTATAGAAAGAAGAGGGGGTAATACGGGGATTTGAAATCCTTTGGTGATAACAGGAATTCTGTGTACAATAAAGTCTACTGTAGATGATTTTCTTTATGTGTTTCGTTGATACAACCAGCAAAACTTTGGGTCTATTTGAGTATGCTGTTCTCTTTGAGCGACAGAGGAGTCCTAAATAGCAACCTTGTGAAATAAAAGGAACCACTGAATAATAATATATCAACAGATAATTATCTGTTGCTAATAATTATGGTGGTGTCGACCTTTGTGTCACTTTTTAGAAGAAATCACTCTCTTCAAAGCTCAAAACTTTAACGAAGGTAGCATCCAATATTCCCTAAGAACATTACGGAGCCAGATTTTCATGATTTTGAACCGGAGAACTTATTTGAAAAAGTATTATAGGTTGCAATCGCTATGCATTTTGTAAATAAACTAGTTAGGTGCCCCATTTGACGAACGAACTCAAAAGAATCGATCGTGAAGTCATTCTGGTATCAGCGCGCACGGCTTGTGAACGGAAGCCTCACTTGTTTACGATGGCGTCTTAAAAGATGGACTTTCCCAAGATTAAATCTAAACGAAACTAATGAAAAACTGACAATTAAACTACAGTAACTTCAGACTCCATGATATAACTATGCACCCTTTAAATGATTCTGAACCACCGTTAAGTAGTTCGGAACTTTTAGGCGACCAAAGGGACGAGCTTTCAAAATTATAATATAGATAGATACTCGTGATTGAGCATTATACTTTTTAAAATGGGGGAGGGGGGAATCTGTTGTTCAGTATAGGATCAAGTGTGTAGTGGCGGCTGAAAGCATTACCTGTTTGTCTAAACCTTAAACTTTGGGCTGTCGTGCAAGAGGTACGCAGGCAGCAGATTGTATAATACTGTAACAGATAACCAGAGCTCTTTTAATTTTAACATTGATATGTGCTGACGTCTGTGGTGTAGCGGATAGGGGCTTCGTCATCACACAAAAAAGAGGAGTGTCCCTGTTTCGTTTGGATTTTTATCAAACAAATATACCCAGGTTGTTTGGTGGGAAATTATAAATGCCTTTCAGCCTGGGTTGGGCCTGGCAGGCAAGGTCGAAGTGGCCCGTCAAGACTAATCAAGATAATAACTACTCCCGTGGGGGGGGGGGAGGGGGGCGTGTAAAACGTTTGTAATTACAAATAAAAGTTTTGTTGAAGAGTGTGAGTCAAGTGTGAGTGCTATTTTTTCAGTTTTTTAACGTAAATGCTTTTACACCCCGATCGACACAGTTTTCATCATTAAGAGCTGAAACACAGCGGACTCGTCGCCGACACGGACCTATTCACGCTCAGGAAGCGGGAAAGGGGTAGGGGGGTCTGAGGATGTGTTAGAGAAGGTTTTGTTGGTGGAAAGGGGATGGTGATCCCCAGTATTGTCAGGATTTCATTTAGACAGGGGCGTGTACTCTCCTCGTTTCTACTAGTATTTGGACATAGTTATTAGAGAGTTACATAAAGACAAGGACAACATCAGTGGAAATGAACTCCGATTCGCCGATGACTAGAGTATTTCGAATACAAACTAAAACAGTTTGTAAGAAAATACAAATAGCCTAAACAAAAAGTGCGAAGCGTACCAAGTGAAAATCAGCACTACCAAAACAGAAGTACTTTTAACGAAAGTCAGCAGAAACGCAGGCCCACTATACATCACCACCGACGGAACTGACTCAACTCAAACAAGTTAAGGAAAGTAAATACATGGGGAGCATATTTACACATGACGAAAGACTGGACATTGAAATTAGGACAACAAAAAGACTACTCACCCATAAACATAATATACATTATGTACCAATAGAAGTAAAAAGAAAACTTATCAACAGCATATTCCTTCCAACACTGACATGGCAGCTAAACACGGCACAAAAAAAGAAAGATGAAATGCTCCAGAAAATTAATTAATGTTTCTAGAAAAGATTGCATATGGAACGAAACTGTTCAATACGTTATTGAAACCTCTCATGTTGGAGAAACCTATTGGAGATGGACATTAAACTAACACATATCCTGCGTAATAAAAAATCTGTATTTTTAAAAGGGAAGATAAATAGCGTACTAACTTCACCATCAAGTTCTAGATCTGAAACCGACATCGGCAATCATGGTTCTTAATTCCTTTCTCAGCACGGATGTTCTCAAAGAATTCTACATCATCCTGGTGTTTCCACGTCACCCATCTGTTTAGGTTTTCCAACTACATTGCTCTAGGTCTGCCTCCGCCTCATTTACCTTCTATCTTTCCAGTGCGAGCAAGATGTCCAAAGACCTTTTGTCGAGTCAAGTATTTTTAATGATATTTCCTCACTTATATGTTTATTATCCGAATGTCTTCATTTCTTCACACAATGTGTGCCCATTCTATGTTCTAAAATAGTGCTCATTTAGAAGATAATATCAAATAATAATACAACTAGTAGTGTTTCAAAAGGTTTTGGCTGAAAAAATAGGGGGGGGGGGGGGCATTTGTTCATATGGCATACTTCTAGAGTCCGTAAGTATTTGCATAACAGTAATATTAAAATCTTGGACTATTTCATCACTGCATGTGATTTTGTTTGCTAAATAGGAAAACTAATGGGTCAAAACTAAGAGAGAAGAAGGCATTTGAGAATGGGATTGTCTAATATAGTGTATGTTTGGTTGGTTACCATGGTTACCATGTGCCTAACATCATAATTTATTACTGGAATTTAATGTTTGCTGTCTGACTTGTTGGAATTTGGTTAAGAGATATCGATTTTTGAGATCTTAGCAATGGAGCTTCAAAAAGAAAAATAATGGAAGAATCAAGAGACACTTTTATTTACTCAAATGGAACTTCAATGTAACAAAGCACAGTCATACATTGCCATCTATAAGACACACACACACACACACACACGCACACACACACACACACACACACACACACACACACACACACACAGATGCACTGTAATGAGCTCAACTATCGTTATTGAAATCCTAGGTTGCAACTATCACAAGAAATTCATTTATGATTACACACTCATTCAAACAAAATTGAACCGTCAAATACAACCACACAAAGGCTGTTCTCTTCAACGCAACACAAGTGGAAAATAGTGAGTTTATTTCACAGTTTGCCCAAATCGTTCTTCTGCCATCTTTTTCATTAGTTGCTTGTGTGGTTTACCCGTCGACGTCATAGGAAACTCTTCCAATATCTGGAAAAAAAGAATAAGAAAAACAGAACAAGGAAAAGAAAATATAAGAAATTATATACAATAGGAAACATGCATATTATAGTTAGTTGTAAGACGTGATATGATGTTATCTTATCAGAGCTTCTTTCTGTTTGTAGCACAAAACGTCTAGAGTCTAGATAAATTGATACTTACCTTTTGCTTTAGGTCTTGAAGGCTCAAAATGGAAATTCTAAAAAAGTTTCATAACATTTCCTATCTTGTACAACAGTTTAATGAGATATCACCTCTTAAATGCACAAGATTGGAGGGCTCCATGTGCTGATCATACTTTATTTATTTCTTTTCGTCGATAGATTCTCTCTGATTCAATTTTCCGCTGCTTCAGAAGTTCATTTTAGTATTGATGTACTTGTCGATACTAAGACAGAAACTATTTTTTTAAAAACCAAAACAAAAAAACCCAACAAGAAATAACACCTCTTGAATTATTTCAGATCTTTGTAGAGTCCCATATAAACGAAAATATGATCACTGCCTGTCCCCCACTCTCTCTCTCTCTCTCTCTCTCTCTCTCTCACTGACACACACACACACACATATATATA